CAAATTTTTTATTTCCTTTGTAGATCACCAGACCAAGTTGTCCTTTCTCTTGGGCCTTTTCTGTGTAGCCATAAACTTAAAAGTAGTTATTTTGTAAATAAAAATTATATATGCCCTGGTAAATGGTAAGATATGACAGATAAGGAGTGTGCAGTATGACCAGTTAGCACATAATAGAAAATCATGACCAGTTGTGTATGTAATCTGGCCTTTCAGCTACATTTTGCCTCTCTGATCAGCCATATGATTAATAATAAAAAGAATGATCACTGTCTAACAGGTCAGATAGCAATCTGGCATCTCCAAAAAGCATGGAAATTAATGGGATGTGTTACATTGTTAGGTTTGCCAAAATGAAGAAGGCAGTTGGGAGTTAGGAATAGTCTTGAATATGTACAACTGAACATGAAACATCCTAGTTATTATCTTGAAGTTCTTATTAGCTTACATGTTAATGACAAATTGCATGGTTCAGTTAAAGCAGAATTTGCATCACGGCAGGATCGTGGCGTCACAGGAATCACTACTTAAAAAAACTAGTAAATGCTGTTAATGTAGTGGAAAGCATAGTTGTAAGGGAAGATTTCAAATGGGTATTGGGATAAATTAAAATTCTTGTCTTTGAGACAGGTGTCTGAATTCTCTGGCATACATTGATTCTGGATGATATGGAGATATTTTAACAATGAATCTGCATACTAGTAGGGAGATACTTATGTTCTGTGAAATAACAGGCACATGGTCTTTGCTATAACCATAACTATAGATTCTCATTTAAATTTATCATGATTTAACATAATGACAATCACTTTTTTATGTTTCTGCATTGTTAGAAACAAATACAATTTATTTTCAGATACTACTCTTTGCCCTGAATTTGTGAAGGAAAGATTAAGTCACCACTTCCTTAGATAGCATATTGTAATGCATTGGCCCTTTGTATTCCAGGAGAGTATCCCACGTACGGTTGTCTGACTTGCCCAAGACAACTTGACTAAGATCACAAGAAAATCTTTGCCCGTTCTTTAGGGGGCTATACAAACAAAAGCTTGAAATACAAGTTATATTTGGTGATCTATCCTATCCCAACATTTCGATTCTTTTTGGTTTACAGAGCTTTAGATATCTTTAAGAACTGTGGTGCTTTAATTTCAAGGGGAATTTGCATTTTAACACACACAGCTTTTCACTTGGCTAATTAATACGATCCTTCAGTTCTGACAGCATCAGCAGTGATGAAGAAGAGCTAAGAACGCTGGGCAGTAGTGGCAGTGAAGGCAGCACTCCAGAGAATGTTGGTCCTCCATTCATCACGGATGAAAACAGTTGGTACAACAAATGCAAAAGGGTAGAACAGAAGTACCGGCTTGCGTTGGAACAGAAGGTAAAAGATTAGTTTTGGAGCGGGGTGATGGAGCCAAAGCTTGTCACCAGCCGACTGGTGACACATCCATTTAAGTAAAGGCAGAAAAATATATTAAATATTATTTAGCTTCATGTAAATGGTCTTAAATTTTACAATCCTCAGAGTATCTAAGTATCTTTGCTCATTAATTTGAGGGAAAAGAGGTTTGGGGAGAGGGGGAAGAGAATAATAGTAATAATTTGGAGATCAGATTTCCCAATCTAATGTAGAAGCTTTTGCTCCATTTTCCAATCTCAGAGTTACAGGCAGTGTATCTCCGAAGCTGTTAGGTTGTGAGCTTGAAGTGAACACGACTGTCCACATGGTTTTCCTCTTCCTTAGAGGCCATAGAATTTTATTGATGTAGATAGACTGCCAGTTGAAGGCTTTTATAATGATAGTGATGTTAAACTTTAACATTTAGTCTTACGGTAAACGAAAATGATCACCAAAGTAATCCATCTAGGAATGAAAAGCAGAACTATCGTCTCAGTGATACTGAGATGGGTTTTCAGAAAATATATAGTTTTAAGACCTGCTTCAAGCTAGAATGGGGAAATAAAAAAAAGAGTGTGTTTGTATTTGATTTTAATAATTTAGGTGGCATATTGAATGTTATTATAGAAACCAAAGGTAGGTTCTCCCTCTACCACCCAAAATACTGTAAGTTAAATGTGAAGTGAAGTAATATGTCCGAACTGTTTAGTATTTCCATATTTTTAGAAGCAAAGTGCTTGTCAGTTTTTCATAGCACTCAACTACAGAGACAACAATGCGTATTAGCTGGTGGCAGAGAGAAGGGGGAAGACTGTTCATAGACACTGAAGAAACAGTGCACAGAAAAAGAAAGGACGGGTCAGGAAAAATGAAAGTGAAGAAAAATGAAAGACAAATGGTTAATGTTTTTAAAGATCTTCTGCCAGTTGGGACTCAGTACATTAACTGTGGCTCAGGTCCTGGTACCAACTCAGTCACATACATATTTAAATTCTAAGAATGATTGTTGGCATGGTTTTGGCCTGGGACAACTAGCACTCTCGCAAATTATTTCAAGTCACAGTTTGTGAATTAGTGTTTGTCAGTGATCATTCCAAATAACCAGTATGACTTCAGACATGGTCCTTTGGAACTAGAGTTTTAGTATACATATAGCCAGACTGAGAAAACGTACCTGAGAAGGAGTCCTGGCTATGTTCAATTCATTAGGGTAAATGTAGCTATGGATTGCTAAATGCCAGTCTTAATACGGAATGGATAGAATCAAAGTTGGTTTACTTTAATGCATGTGAGAGAACCTAGTTAAGGTTTTTCTAAGTAACAGTGAAAAAGTCAGACTTACTGTGCAATGATAGATGTGAGAGGTATTTTTAAAAAAATATGCATACAATTACTTGTTTTCTATTTTTGGTCCCTTAGACTTCTCATTTTTGAAATATGACATTAAATGTTGGCATCCAGGTTGCTGGTACGATCTTCTCAGCCAGTGTGGTATCGCTTTCCATATGGAAAGAACTTGTGTTCCTTGGGGCTCTCTCTGGTACAGAGGACATTTTCCCTGCTTTTGTAAACCAAAATGTGCCATTCAAAAGCAATTTCTTTGAATACATAAACAAAATGAAAACCTTTCCCTCCCCACCCCAACAGTCCTTGAAGCACAGGAACATATTCAAGACAGCATTTCATCTTTGTGTCCAGACGAAAACATAGGATCGGTTTGAACTCTGCTCTTCCCCCCTCCCTGCCCTGAAGATTGTAAAATATTTTGGGGTTTAATGAGGACAGTGTCATCAGCTCTGGAGAAGCATTGAAGAGAACAAAATAGGTGGATATTTATTTTTCGTGGTACATCCAGGTGGTTCATTTCCAAGGATACCCCATCAAAGTTGTGACAGACATCTGTAGAAACAGTATTGAAACACGGTGTCCAAATCCACTAGCCAGAATCACCAGGTAGCTTTACGTCTACAAAAGCACAAAGATCTTCAGTGGCTGTAGCAGCAAATGGAGGTTTTGGTTTACTCACAGGTCTAAGATCCAGAAACACTTCTATTCCATGGGAAGTTATTCGCTGATCTGATACTGAATATTTCAATATTTTGAGCATTACTATTTTAGTAAGTCACATTATTCCTTGTTACATTCTCTTAATGAACTGCCGACTTCTATAGTCAACTAATGTAGGGGAGACTTCAGGTCAGTTTTATAATAACTCTTTGAAAACTTTGGTGTATTTAATACAATTTTCAAAATGATAGCTATTCTGACAGCCATTGACACTTTCCTAGTTGTCCTCCTTTAGAATGCCTACTTGACAATTGCAGTAGCAAAATAACTTTTTTTTATTCCCACAGACAGAAAATTTTCCATTGTCTTATTTTTATTTGGGATGTGCCTGCCAAATTTTTATTTAATTCACTTCAACTATACTACATCTGTTCTATTATAACTTGAAAAATGACCATTAAGAGGTTAGATGGACTATGGAATAGAACTCCTTTCCTGAGTGTTTCTCTCCTTCCCTTTTCAGGACCTTTTAAATGGCAGTAAGTTGCAGCAACAATCAAGTTGCACACAGTGCAGTAGGTGCCAGTTAATCAGAGACGGAGTGTTTTCTTTCAAACAAGGGGCTTTCTGACATTCTGTGTGTTGGAAAACTGGATGTTTGTGACAAGAAGACCAAGTTGAAAATCATGTATTTTTAGTAACTGATATAGTGAGTCTGATAGATCCTTCTTTAGCTCTATTGTCATTCACTTTGCGCAAATAATGATGAATTCCTTCTGTGCCTCCTAAGTAAGTATGTGCGGTCAGTAATAGCACAGGTGAATGAAGTTTACCAGGGTCACAATATGACAAGCGATTGGCTTTCAGCTAAGATAAAGGTAACTGTATCTTCCGAGTTGTTTGAATGATAGGATAGGGCCAGGTATTATTTTTAGCAAGGTAAATCCTAGCGTTGCTTTATTGGATCAACAATGCTATGCTGGTTTAGACCAAGAATCCTTGGTTATCCTACTATCCTACCTTGGATACTTGCCCAAAGTAGATGTGGAGGGAAGAATATAAACAAAGCAAACACATATGGGCTGTTTTTCCTCTCATACTTTCTTGGCCAACACATATCAGCTCAAGGACTTCCTGAAGCTGATAAGGTTTGTCTGTTTAGTAACCCATGATGGATCTCTCTTCCAAATACTTGTCAAATATCCCCTTGACCCCATGTAAAATTTTAGCATCCAAATAATTTTTTTTGGCAAAGCATTCTGTGTATCTACCATCTGTTGTGTGAAAAGCCTCCTCGTTTTCTGTCTTTTGAATCTGGCTCCTACTAGCTTCGTTTCACAGTGCCTAGCTCTTGTATTTTAAAAAATGATGAACAGTCACTTCCCTCCTGCCCTCTCCAGGCTACTCTGGAAATATGATGAGTTTGTCTTTTCCAAGTTGTCTCTTGTCCAGATTAATGAGTCATAGTTTACACATTTGTTACTTACATGGAAGTTATCCCTTTCCTATTTTGGAATGGTGTGAACTGTTCACTTTTGTGTAGTAAACTCCTAAATTCTTTGTGTACTGTTTATACTGGGGTTTGGTATGCTTTCACTGGTGGGATGGTGCATCTCCATGTCATTATAGATAGAGGTATTTACTGTTCATAGTATTCTGTTTCTGATACTGATGCTTCATATCTAAAATCTTTTTGTAAATATCGATACACATTGATGTGATTCTCTTCCTCCCCCTCTCCCTTCCCCTCCCAACCCTGGACTGAGCAATCCCAGCTCTTTCTGCCTCCTGTCATATGAGAGATGCTCCAAACCCTTAATCGTCTTTGTGGTGATGAATTATATTAGTAGCATTTTACTGACCAGCTAACGTGAAACCTGTTTTCTTACTCAACAGGACTATGCCTGTTCTGTGTCTATGAAAACTACCTTTTCTAATTATTTTTTTTTTTATGTGGGCACCTATGAGAGATTTACACATTTTTCCACGGGGTTCAAGGAATGTGCAAAATTATATGCAGTATAGACTTATTGTATCCAGCTTTAACTAAGAACTGATAAGAAGTTACTAGCATCTGACATGCTGGGACTCTGCTTGAAGAAGAAAAAGAAATAACTCCTTAGTATTGTAATCAGATGTGTAATTTGTGAACATACTTTGTGACCAGTCTGCCATCACAGCTGCTGTTAAATACTCATGTTGTGGATTTTTGTAAATGACTCCAAGTAGTTGGAGTGTGATTAGAACTGCCCCATATCTTTTATAGTATCAGCTGGAAAAACAATGACATAAATGCATGTGCACATTCCAGCTGTACATGTCCAATGTGACTAAAAGAAGTGACCTTCACTGGTCACTATGTCCTACCTTATGCTTTACTGTAGGTGAATATTTATTTCAGTAACTTCCTTCTTTGTCATTTTAATGTGTGATGTGGTATTGCAGTTTTCAAAGAAACTTTAAAATAATGTTGGATTTTTTTTTATAATAATAATTCTAGATCTCTTTCATTAACTGTACAGATCCATATAGATACATTCTACTCTTGTCCTTCTTACGCAATATCTAACATCCTGCATTGGTTAAGTCGTAGAGTTCTGATCTTTTTCTTGTACTAGGGACTGTTCTATGTTGTTTTTGAAAAATGAATTAGTGTTTTATGCT